TGATCATACTTACACTGGCAAGTTGTTAGATGGAAACAGGTCACACTTCACAGACACACACACACATATGAACACAATGTGTTTTCATGTGATGCTGTGTGTGTGTGTGTGTATGTGTATTAATACAGTATGTACAACTGATTGTATTTCCTCTGCAGCAGCTCCTGTGACTGCCTGCACCTGTCGCTGTGCATCATGCCTCTTTCTCTCTCTCTCTCTCTCGCTCTCTCACACACACACACACACACACACGTTTGAGCTTCTCTCTTAAAGAGGACAGTCATTGACATAATGCATTCCCTAGCCCCTTATCCTGACCTTAACCATCCAAGCTAAATGCCTAACTCTAACCCAAACTAAACCTAATTCTAACCCTAACCCTAAAACCAAGTCTTAACCCTTTAACAGCCCATTGAAAAAAGGGAGGGCTGGGCAAAATGTCCTCACTTTCCAAAAATGTCCTCACTCTGTAGGGTATCTGCAGGACCTCACAAAGATATAAGCACAGGAACACACACACACACAGACAGACACGCACACACACACACACACACACACACACACAGGGGTATCTTCCCCACTTCAGAGGACATTAAATGGACTTACATTCATTTCCTAGAGACTTTCTTTAACCATTACCATATGCTACTACAAGACGTTTAGTGTTACCTCTACCTAACCTTACAGCCTCTACTCAATTTAAATCTCCAGACTGCAGGATGTATGGGAATCCATCAGCAATGGGACATAATATTTACATTATATTAAGTTCTCATGAAAGAATTATTAGGTTGTCTTAAAATGATCTCTTCTTATCCACAGTGGGAGCAGGTCCTCTTCCGAGGAATCCATGTTACTATCTTGTAAAATGGGAACTGTGTACTTTTTCAATAGTGGATGAGAACAGAAATCATCAGCACTGTACGCTACCCAAGTCTAAGCACACACAAACCTATTCAAACATTTTATCGGGAAAGTGTTGCAAATTCACATCACTGCTGGTATTTTCTTTTATTTGTCGACAAAGAGCCTTTTGGTTCAAAGTCTTTATACGATTTCCACATATATTTCCTCTGTCTGATGAAAACTGTGGTTGTCTCTTATTAGTTTTTAATGCTCTGTTTGTCGAACTCCTTCTGTGTCAGAAGGATTTTTCTGTAGCCCAGCTGGCTGTGTGGCAAAGGATTAGATTAGCATTCAGTCCAACAAACCACACCTGCACTGCTCTTCTCACAAGGTAAACGTCTGCAATCAGTATTTAAAATAATTGGATCAACTGGTAATTTGTAACTAAAGTAATGGTATCATTTCATATGTATAAGTCTCAAAGTATGTGGCCTATTACACATCAATGATGTCTAGACAATGAGCATGTTTGTTTGGTCAAATAATTCCTTGAATCCTTTGTAATAGAAAGTAAGCTATGAATAGTTTTCTAAGATAGAAGCTAGTTTGTTATGAAAACTTTCTTCTTTATGTTCATATTGTTGTGTCCTCTCTTGTGATCACATGAGACACATACCCACAACCTGTCCAACTCTAACCTAAACTAAAACACAATCTTACCTTCAACTTAAAGCTAGTCTTAGAATCTTATGATCTACATTATGGGAACTTGATTTTTGTTTAGGTCCCCACAAGATAAGTAATACCAACACACACAAAGCAACACAGTAGATTTTCACATTATCATCCTTTTACTCACAAACATGTTCAACAGCTGACGAATAAACATGTACAAAGGTGAGATGACTTCATGTGACTCTGTTGGAGGTAGAAACTAGAATCATTTCCTTTGCTTTCGAAATGTTCAGTTTCAACATCATGTTTCATATCTGTCTAAATGTCCCGAGATAGACCCTCAAATAAAATAAACAATGACAAATTGTACGTGTTTCAGTGCTGCTTGCAGTGTCGAATCTGGTGTGACATGAATCAACAGACATAATACAAAAAGCAAAGTAAAACAATTCATAGTTCAACCCTTGTTCTTCCTGGAAAACCAGGTATGTTGGTGGGTTTTTTACACGGGACAGCGCCTGTAAATGAGACAATCATCGGAAAGTATTTAAATTTCACTTATTCTGCTATTCTACAATCCAAAATCAAATTTAATCTAAAGATCCAATGTACATTCTTATTTGTTGATTCTAATATCTTTTGCGTTACAGTAAACTAATAATATCCAATGGCATGTTTTCAAGTTTTAAAAGGCACAGTCACCAATCACATGAATCCCTTGTGCACAAACCACACAGACAGACACATGCAGATCATATTTACAGTACACAATAACTGATCCTCATTTTTCTTACACAATTATCCTTACATAGAGGCAGGGCTGGGGGGTTATTACCTCCCCCAAGGAGGATACATTTTAATCCCTGTTTGTTTTTTTAGCAGTGCTACAAAGACGGATTTCCATGAAACTTAGTGGAAGGATAGGCCGAAAAAATTTGGCATGTTAACCAATTTCCTCTCTATTGAGGGCCATCATATTCCGAGATGTGATTTGTCTTGTTCTATAATGTCTTTGGGGTATGATGCTCTTTTCACCACCAAATATTAAATACCAAATGTCCAATTGTCCAAATACCTCAGCCTTCAACCAAGTTCCAGTTCCAATGTGAAAGTAAACTAAAAGTATGTGTCATCTGATTAGTATGTCTTTACAGAGAGTGTATCTGACGATGTTATGGAAACAGATCCCACTTCAAGAAAATAATCTCCCGAGCACTGTCTGACAGATAATAAAGTTCTTACAAGAAAAGAGCTTCGGCAGATAGGATTAACAAGGCGAAAGATAGCCACGTTTGGAGACAGAGAGAGAGAGAAATAGACCCAACACATACACAGAATACAGGGAGAGGAAGACCAGTTATAACAGTTATGATAGAGACAGATGTTTATCTGACACATAGATACATACCAGTAAATGATTTTGGACCGTGCAGACATGAGGTTTATCAGGAAGGAATGAAAAACAGGTGGACTGTTTTTGATAGTCGGAGGTTGGTTATTGTAAGTGAGCCTCAACAGAGAAATAAGACTTTAAGCCACAGTTACACAATGTAGTACTTTTTTTCCGCTCTGTGGAGGTTTTGTTTGGATGTTCAGCTTACACTTCAGTTGTTGGCAGAGAAGGTTATTAGCATTGTGGGGCTGAATTTAAGCCTCCTGCCTTTTATGAGGAAAATAATAAATATGTGAATTTGGCTTGATATGGCACCAGTGTGTTTGTACTTCAGTGAGGTGGCAGCGTGGCCACTAGTAGTTTATGTACATATGAGCCATTATACATTTATATAGCATTTAAAATGTATTAACTTTTATATTTACTCAACTTAAAGGCCCTGAAATGTTTTTCTCCATCAGGTTCTTATTGTGAATGATGTGATCCTAAGAAAACTCCATTATATGTACTATACTAGTGTGTCTGTGTGTGTGTGTGTATCTGTGTGTGTTTAATCCGACCAAATCCACACCGACACTGATTGAAGCAGATCAGCTGAGTTTCTATCTCATAGTTAAGTAGTTTTGAAAAGTCTGTGCCACACTGCCAATTATAATGATTTCTGTGTTGACATGGTGAAACTATTTTTAATACATGTCTAGTATCTTTCCAAGGGATTTCTCTTGTGTTGTTCTTTCACATAAATATGTCAAATTATTCCAAGGGGAACCCCAGAATATGTTTTATTTTGTAGGCTGTCCTTGGCTGAACAAATTGAGACTCTCTGGCGTAAACAAAATA